AACAGGATTAACATCCTCCGCTCTGCCCCGGGGTAGCTGTGGCCGCGTTGTAGTGGTTTAACTATGAAATGTACGATTTTTGTACAACAGCTCTCGCGAACGCACTTCTGAACTGGGTACCGAGCGCAGACCGTAGTCGAGTGGACAGAACCACAGACATGCGGACCGGACAGAACCATGGACTCGCGTTCAGGACCTCCCGTGTCCCTCATCCAAAACTCCTGAATTTAAAGCTCGGATACCAAAATGTTTCCATGCACTAACAATGCATGTTCTTTGTGTGAGTTATTATTTGACTATTTGGGCAGAGAGTGGATTTTCTTAGTTTTTTTCCACACAGTTAGTGCCATTTTATTCCCAAACTCTTGTTAATTGTATCGAGAAATATTAAATAAAGCTTAATTTCAAGGCCTGGACTTAAGCATTTTGATGAGAATAACTGTATATTGTGAATATAGGCTACAGAGTATACTGTATACATTATAAGATAAGATATACTTTATATATCACACAGAGTATGTACAGTATATATTTTTTTACATTAGTACTGTATACATTTTTACATTTTCTCCTGGAGGTGTGCCGCAAGATTTTTTCAGTGAAAAAAGTGTGCCTTGGCTCAAAAAAGGTTGAAAAACACTGGTCTACCAGATGCAGGCTGCATCATACAACAGCACACAAACACACACAAACAGTTTTGTTAAATGGAATCAGGTTGTTTGAACATATTTTAAATTCATCTGTTAATTTGTTCCAAAGACTAGCTCCACATACAGAGATAGGCATTGTTTTTGAAGTAGTTCTAAACTTAGCACATACAGCTCATCCAGTGCTAAATCAACATCGAATTTTATATCTACAAATCATAGAGCATGGTTTTGCATTTCTGTTCCACTCCAGTCTCTCTGAGCATCTGCAGCCATTGTCCTCAAACTTCCCCTGAAACACCAATCCCCCTCTTCGCACGATCACACTATATTTCACCCGCCAGGACATGTTTAAGTCACGAGACATTAATTGCGTTTGTGATAAATTACCAACATTTCTTCTGCACCCGTGACACCTTTTTTCTCACAGATGTGGTGAAGCAATATCCACACTGTCTGGGGACATCTGGGTCTTATTTCCTTAGTAATTTGCAAATTCATTTTTCGAAAGCGGGGATGTTAAAGATCTGTGGGTTTCATTACAGATGCAAAGGCCTTTTGTTTGGGGTTTTGAGAATGAGTTATCACATTGTGCGAGCACAACATTTGCCGGCTGTCAAGCATCTTTTGTGCCTAGTAAAGTTTTATGTGGTAAAAATCTGGTCGCAACTGCACGACGAGAATGAAAGATGAATGCAATGAGGTCAAAATGTGGAAAGGTATGTATTCACCATGTACTTTATTTGGGAACATGCTTTTTATACATTCTGTAATCATTAGTGATGTGCTGAGCGTGCCGAGTCTTCAAAGCGTGTACCGAGTAATCAAGGGGAATTTTTTTTTAAAGCGTGGGTCGAGGAGTGTGTTGGTGACGTATGTGGTGACGTTCGAAGCCTCGCGTAGCAGCCGCGCCACGTGACGGTTCACTGAGGTGCTTCATTTAGTTCGGATCGCATCGCTTTGACAGGTACTTTGTGATCCAACCAACTTCACCACGGTAGTCTGTCTCTGTGTGCGTACGTGTGTGTGCGTGATGTGGAGCAGTCCTGTACCTAATTATAGCAAATCTACTTCATATGAAATACAATTAAAAACACAAATTAGATCATAGACTAGACCCCACCATTCATTGCAAGCACTTAAGAATGTTATATATTTTTTGTCCACATGATGGCGTAGTGGAGCATAAATCACCTCGAGCCTTTGAACCATGGGCCGAGTAATAGGCTGCAAACGCTCAATGCTTCTTGGGGCTTCATATTGCCATAGTAATCATTAAAAGAACCGGGCGTTCTCTCGTCACTGACAGAAGTCAAAGTATAACACGACAGTTACCTTTATCTAAAGTCAGAAAACAACTCGGCTTGTGGGAGTAGTTCAGAGGTCTACCGTGGTCTTCCCGTGGCCCTCAGTCCCGTAGCACTCAGTCCCATGGCCTTCAGTTCCGTGGCCCTCAGTCCCGTGGCCCTCAGTCCCGTGGCCCTCAGTCCCGTGGCCCTCAGTCCTGCTCCTGCACCTCAGCACGGTGTCCTCTGCAGCTGTGTTTTATATTGTATGCACGGTTATCGCTTCGACGGCTCTCAAGTTACAGTTTACAGTCTTGATATCTTTGCAATCCCACAGCATCAATCGTGTTCAGGTGGTTAGAAGTGTATTAAGTGTTGTGAGGGGGTTTACAGCCTGAATATACCTGCTACTTTGTGAATTATGCTTTTATGGTGCTTATGGTTCACTGTATTATTCATGGGTGGGCTCCTCCTCCTCTTCAAGAGTTCAACACTGTGCCAGCTCTCGTCAGGAACATTCCAACACTGGGAACCTTCACAAAGTTTCTCAAACTGTGGCTTGTGAACAATCAAAGCTGCAGTAACAGTGTGTACTAATTTTTATGTTGATGCCCTTGTTATGGTTTTTGGTAGTATTTATAATGTCTTGTACCGTGTAACGCTCTTGTGTTTTATGTTGCTGCTTTTACTAAAGTCTGCTTGTATGTCTCTGTGACAAAGCGGGATACTTTGTCTCCTTTTAATGCCACTTTTTATAAATATATTTTGTGCCTGTAGAAGAGGTGTGTCTCAGTCAGCAATTTTGTATAGTGGGCCAACCCTGTGGGCGAATAGGTGAATCCATGGATCTATTCTAAAATCTGGATAGGGTGAAGAAGATGCCAAGTCTGGGATCGCGTCTTAAATTCAGACAGAAGACATGTTTTATTGTCGATGGTAGAGACAGCACGAGCACGAACACACGATCACAGATACAAGAGAATGCAAGTGTATTATACAGAGCGGAGGCATGGAGACCTCCAATCAGCAGCTTCCACGGTGTGCTTGTAGCTTGGCCTTCAGATAGACACAACAAGGGACAAGTACTGGCTTCTGCACATTGATAGAATGATGAGTTTAACTTTAACAAAAGTTGCTTCAAAGAGTTATGAAATCTCACATTCCCCCCTCTGGTCATACATTCACGTGTGACCATCAGGATCGATAAACAGCAACATAACATCATAACTCAATACTTCAAAAACTCATAAACTCGGTACTTCAAAAAACTCAGAACTCGGAATACTTCAAAAACTCAGAAAACTCATAAAACATGTTCAGATCTTTCATAAAACTTGTCAACAATCTTCAGTAAAATACCAAACTTCATCAGTCGAAGGTTCCAGATATTGCTTTGAAAACAGTCTCTCCCACTTCTCCGTGTTGGTTTCTTCAGGCTGCATTTGTGTCGAGCCATAGCAGTGAATTCTTCTGTGATGTGTCTTTCAATCACACGTTTCAGCTTTAGTGTCCAGATTCAGCAATCCAATTGTTCCAAATTATGTCCAAATTCAGAAATCCAATTGTTCCAAATGATGTCCATGCAAAAGAGGACAGTGGTGTTGTCCATGTCTCAGCAGCTCACAGCCTGACTGGAATCAGGGGCTGTGCAGATTGTCCAAGTGTGCTGGTCCAGATGCATTCTCTTGAGGTTTTTCAGTTTTGGCTTGAAAAAAAAAACACTTTTTGTGTAAAAAAAAAGTCTTCTGTTCTCTAGATGTTACAGACAAGGCCCGCATCCTTCCACCACCTGAAGAAGATGCCAAGTCTGGGATCGCGTCTTAAATTCAGACAGAAGACATGTTTTATTGTCGATGGTAGAGACAGCACGAGCACGAACACACGATCACAGATACAAGAGAATGCAAGTGTATTATACAGAGCGGAGGCATGGAGACCTCCAATCAGCAGCTTCCACGGTGTGCTTGTAGCTTGGCCTTCAGATAGACACACCAAGGGACAAGTACTGGCTTCTGCACATTGATAGAATGATGAGTTTAACTTTAACAAAAGTTGCTTCAAAGTGTTATGAAATCTCACAAGGGTATACCTACATGTGGCTGGGAGCTGAAGGATCCATGTGCTCGGGGGATTCTTACGGTACTGCAGACTTAACAGGATAACATTCATGCGGGCTACCCAGAAATGTTCCCCATAGAACTCAATGTAAACCTTCATGGCTAAATATAGCATATTTACATGGGCCACATGTTGATTATTGTGCACTGTCCCATTCAAACACACAAATAAATAATAAAAAAGCACCAAAGACAGTGAGGTCTTTGTGAGGACGGCATGAAAGAGCCACAGTTTGCACGGACAGTGACATAAAGCAGGATCACCATAAATCTTCACAGTGACTTAAGAGAGTTCTTAAGAGTCCCCCATCGATGTCAATGACGCGCTTAATATCTTATACATTTATGTTAGAAAGAACCCTGTGAGTCACCATTTCACAGAGTGGTTCTCTCCTTTTCCTTTTTCTGTCTGAAAAAGTGGATTTAAAGGCAAAAATACACGTGGTGATTGAAGCAAAAAGCGTTGAGAGATTGTGGTTTTAAAGTTAGGTATCTCAGCTACCATTTGCTACCAACAGATGGCGCACAAACAGCTTTATCCCTTCAGTGAAGTCTGAAGCAGACCAGGTATTTCTCAGTCAGTTGATATCTTTTTTTAAATGTGAAAAATATAGACGTACAATACAGGTGCAAACATACAATACAAGTGACACAGAAAAATAGATAAGCACAGCAAAGGAAGGTTTCTCACCCATCATCTGTAATACTTAGCAGGTTTTCTCGACGTTTCTTTAGATTAAGGACGAAACCTCGGGAAAACCTGCTAAGAAGTACAGATGATGGGTGAGAAACCTTCCTTTGCTTTGACTAATCCCCGCACAACTGAGAGCTTACAAAAACTTATAGATAAGCACAGTTCATTAAACATAGTGTGGATACAGTAGATACAGAATTTAGCTGAAAAAAGTGGTTTTGCATCTACTAAAGGACTGAGTCTGGTCCGTGTCCTCCTATTGGAGTGAGTCTGGTCCATGTCCTCCTGTTGGAGTGAGTCTGGTCCATGTCCTCCTGTTGGAGTGAGTCTGGTCCATGTCCTCCTGTTGGACTGAGTCTGGTTCATGTCTTCCTGTAGGACTGAGTCTGGTCCATGTCCTCCTATTGGACTGAGTCTGGTCCATGTCTTCTTGATGGACTGAGTCTGGTCCATGTCCTCCTGTTGGACTGAGTCTGGTCCATTTCTTCTTGATGGACTGAGTCTGGTCCGTGTCCTCCTGTTGGACTGAGTCTGGTCCATGTCTTCCTGATGGACTGAGTCTGGTCCATGTCTTCTTGATGGACTGAGTCTGGTCCATGTCCTCCTGTTGGATTGAGTCTAGTCCATGTCTTCCTGATGGACTGAGTCTGGTCCATGTCCTCCTTTTGGACAGAGTCTGGTCCATGTCCTCCTGTTGGACTGAGTCTGGTCCATGTCTTCTTGATGGACTGAGTCTGGTCCATGTCCTCCTGTTGGACTGAGTCTGGTCCATGTCCTCCTGTTGGATTGAGTCTAGTCCATTTCCTCCTGTGGGGATCCACTGCACTGGACACGGCTCATTAGCTTCACTGGCTGCTACTGATAAAAAGGGATTAAGTGTGATATAAGTGCAGCTTGAAGACACAACAAATAGATGCAGAAATTATGAAGAAAACCTGTTTTTTTCCAGAGCAAAACACTTTGAAACAAAGCAATCTTCCAAAGCAATTATTTCTGTTGGTTATCATAAATGAGGCCAAAACACTGTGTAAAAGAGATTCTGTATCATACAACATTAGCTTTTCTACATTTGGGAACAAAAGTTTTGTTTGTGAAAAAATGTCTGGCTGCTTTCTGTTTGTTTCAAAAGAGCTCAGACCAATTTGTATTCTGAATTCTTAAGGAGAAACTTTAACACCCTATATTAATATTCTGAGTGAAAGCCAATTTGCGATTGATCCGCTCAATAGGACATACAGTAAGCAATATTGATGGAACAATTAACAATGAAACTGTCTTTATAGAATTCTGTAAACATCTAAAGCCTAGTGTATACCTAGTGGACCTACGCAAGCACAATTTAATTTATACTCCTTGCGGCATTTTGAGGAGAATGTTGTAATCCCACAACCAACCACATGATGGCGATCTCACAGGAGTTGCTTGAGATACCAAAGCGGTCTCATTTACGCTGCTACTTTCTCCTCTTCAGAACAAAAACATGAACAAACCGAGCTGTTTGTGATCATTACATGTGTTTCTACTGTAGGTTTCTACTGTAGGTTTCTACTGTAGGTTTATGTGATAGTTCTATGAACTCATTGTTTCTTAACTCATTTAACTGTGATGCTGTGAATAAAGACACAGTTCTTGTTGGAAACATAGTTATTATTAAATTGTCATCAGCACAAACAGCAAAACAATAAGAGTGGTAAATATCTGAGGCAAACATGAACAATTTATAAGTGCAGGAGGAATGGAACAGACGCGATAAGCTACGAATGCGGATCCAGACAAAGACAGGAACAGTGCAAAACCAACGACTGCACAGTTTATAAGTTATATATATATGTTAGATATAAGTTATATATATGTTAGATAGTCCACAGTCTCCTGTATGTCAGGCTCTGAACCCAAACTGCTTTTCCTTCGTTTCCTTCAAAGCACATAATCTCTGCTCCGAAGTGCCTCGTCCATGTCCCTGCTGCAGCCGCTTCATGCTTCCTTCCAAAACACACACACGGACCAATCACAGCGGACCCTTGCGGCGACCCTTACGTAGATAGAAAATGTCGATGCTGCGCGGCAGGCAATGTAAGGCAACGGAGGTGCCGTGACCTGCGGTGACCAACACGTTGGTCACGGCACCTCCGTTAGCTTCGCGCCGCGCGACTATAAACTAGACTTAATGTATGTGTGTTGTTTGTCTCTTTTATTGTTGTGTTTGTTTTATATGGACCCTTTGTGTGTCTGAATTAAAGATTATATAAATAAATAATATAATTGCCAATCCAAATGAAGAAGATGAGGAAAGTGCTTGTATCCACCACAGGGGAGTAAAGAAGCCTTAGAGCTCGCCTTATATAGCTACATAAAGCTTAAGTGGAACTGTGTAATTAACTTTCCAAGTTTCCTAACTTCAATTTAAATTTAATTAAGTTCAATCTATTTTTGTATAGCCCTAAATCACAACTGTAATTAACTCAGTGGACTTTACAAAGTTGTAGATTCGCCAAAACCAACAGTTTAAGATAGGAAAAGCAATAATAACGAACACGTAGGAGCCATTGGTCCTTAGGGACCGGGACGAGCAATATGCGTAAATAATAATACATGTCCATAAATGTCTTTTAATGACCTGGATAATCATTGCTGTCCTTAGACCCTCCTGCATCGGTAAGAAACAACTCATAAATCCAGAGGAAAAAGTGAGGATCCTTGGGGGGGCCCACATTGAGAAAGGGATCTGATCCCACGGAAAGACAGACTAAAGATCCAAGATACGGCTGTAAAACGACGACCGAGGTCACCGGATGCGACACTGAGGAAGCTCCCACACAGGGAGAAGGTGCAGCCCACAAGGCCTGACTGGAGGAGACAGTCAACAGGTGCCAATGAAGGAGGCCACATTCAGAGGTCCTGTCTTGATGCCATGAAACAGACAAGTGGACAGCGTGTGAAGAGCAATAAAAGACTACAGCTTAAGTCATTATGACAGATAAAGTAGGAATAGGTGAGGATAGCGCTCAAGTTGCCCAATAAAGTGACTCCATATGCAGCTTGACTGATTTGTGTTTTTGGACTTAAGGTTGTAATTGTAATCCTTACCTGAGTACCTAACCATATGCTGAAATAAAAAGGACTGTATAAAGCCAGGCCTTGAATGTAGAGACTGTGTCTTCTCCCCAGATATGGATGGGGAGCTGATTCCACAGGAGCTTGGTAGCACAAAGCTCTGCCTCTGACCATGTTTTTTTAACACTGAAGGAACCACCTTCAGTGTTAAAAAAACATGGTGTTTTGCGAGTTGTCCTCGGAGTGTTTGATATGACGTATCTTGAAGGGGAAGGCCTTGCGTGTTAAAATAGGGGTGGCTCAACTGGTAAAGCATTGGCCTTTTAGGCTGAAGGCTGTGGGTTCGAGCCCACCATGAGACCTTCTCCACGACTCCCGCTGATGTCTGCTGCCGTTGTGTCCTTGGGCAAGGCACTTAACCTGACTTTGCCTGAAGCCCCCACTGAAAGATAGGGGCTGTGCTCTCTCCGACAGAGCAGTCATCCTCCTGTGGACTGCCACCCCCCGACCCACACATGGATTAAGGGGCAGAAAATGGATGGATGGATGGTGTTGAAACTAAGGATTTTAAATGTCATTCTATACTCTACAGGGAGCCAGTGCAGGGATTTTAACACTGTAGTTATCTGTTCCCTCCTTTTGGTGCCTGTAAAGATCCTTGCAGCTGTAATTTGGACGAGTTGGAAGCTTTTTATAGAGGATTTAGGGCCTGCTGCCAGCAAGGCGTTGAGATAGTCAAGTGTTGTGGTGACATTTGCCTGGATTAGTTTTTTGTATCACATTTAGGAAGGATAATCCTAAATTTAGAAATGTTGCACTGATTCAAAAATATGCTGTTTGAGTTTCTTGATTTATTTGTGCCCTGAAGGAGCTTTTTTTTTTACTGCAAAGGGCAAATAAACGGAATCTGAATCTGAATCTGAGAGTTCTTTGTCAATAGTGACAAAGATTCCTCACAGTGTTACAGAGGCCAGGCTAACAAGTGTGATTATCTGTTCAGCGAGTGAGTCATGCAGACGTTTAGGACCAAAAGATTAATTCTGTTTTTTACGGGTTGAGGAGCAGATCATTTAGGGTCATCCGTGTTTTTATGCAGGCACTCTGCCTTTCTAATTGATCTGTCTGATTTGGTTTCATAAACAGGCAAAGCCGTGAGTCTGCATATCAGTGGACGTTAATATCATGCTTTTTGATGATGATGCCTAATGGCAGCATTTAGAGAGTGAAGACAATGGGGCTGACTTCCAATCCTTGTGGCACACCGAAGGATATTTTAGAAAGGGGTGAAGTGTTTGGTTTCTCATTAACAGATGCCAATTTGATAAATAGGATTTTAACCAGCACAGTGCTGTTCCTCTGAGACCAATGTCACATTCCTGTCTCTGCAGAAGGATAATGTGGTGTATTGTGCCAAATGCAGCACTGAGGTCCAGCAGAACCAACACTGACACTCCATCCATCCTCAGCAAGTAATTTGTGACTAGTGCTGTGCAAAACAGTTTGGTTCTATGACCTGTATATATTTTGGCCTCTTTCACATATTTAGATCAGCTTTTACAGACAGAAAAATAAAAAAACAGAGGACCACTCTTACTTAGCCAATCAGCTCTAACAATAAGTTCTTTAATAGATGGGATATGGGTCTGCTGGGATATAGACAGAATGTTGTGGCCTGATTGTTTTTTAACCAAATGATACTTTTACAAGACTCACTGTTGGGACCAACACAATTTATGGAATATAATTGTGTACCACAGCTTGAAAGAAAGAAAGAAAGAGTGAAGTTCACATAACGCATGTTTTAAGATAATATAAAATACACTTTATTCATCTCACAATGGAGAAATATACATGTCCCTTTTGGCATGGATGTAATCACTCATATTGGGCAAAAAGACGGAAGTGTGCAACATGTAAAGCAGTGGTCCCCAAACAACGGCCCGCCTCTACATTTACTCCGGCCCCCTGAACAATACCAGAGAGTATTTTCATATACAGTATGGGCTTGTTCACACTAAAGGGCACAAAAGTGTGACAAAAGGCCAAAAATTTGATTTTAATAATCAGAAGATATTTTATGTTTTTCATGTTTCCAAACACCTCCTCTGTTCATTAGAAGTTGCTAGAACAAAACTGTTTTATACATTAGACAAGTTTCCTGTAGCGGCCCTGTTTATTTTATGTAACGGACGTGATGATTTGACGGAATGAGCTTTGCGGAAGTTTGATAGGTATTTTCAGATGTTCACATTTGTTTCAGAGATTCTTTTTTTACACAAAGTGATACTTTCATATTGTCAACCAATTAAGCGTGAAAACAGACCAGATTTTTTTTTCTCAAGTTTAATTTTTAGAGAAAAGAGGACGGAAACCATCACGTCCGTTACACCTTTTTCAAGGGTAATTTTTTATATCAAGTGATTAACTTATGTTGTGTTAACCATGTAAATCTTGTGGGATTTCATCTGCCGCTTTTCAGACTGAGGACATTTAATTTTCTATGTAACTGGTGTCACAGTAGAATGGTCAAATCAGAGGCTAATTTTGTTGTTTAAAATGTCGCCAAAAATATTTGTCAATCTTTTCTTTTGATTTTATCCACACTGTCTGTGTTTGAAATCTTTTATCCAATCTGCGTATGATAGTAATTTTTATTTTTGAGTTCAAACCTTTTAAAGTCCAGATACTTTAATTGACACTTTAGTGTGAACACACTCT